TCTACGCCACAGTCCCCCAGCTTCCTAATGAGAATGGGGTGAGAGACAGTGTCAAAAGCCTTCCTGAAGTCTAGGAAAACTATATCCACTGCCACCCCTGCATCCAATGATTTAGTGACCTGGTCGTAAAAGGCCACCAGGTTGGTCTGACAGGACCTGCCGCTGATGAACCCGTGCTGGTTGCCCCTGAGCATGCCTTCCTCCAAGCTCTGCCTGTATCTTCCATCCCCCAGGTGCCAAGCCGTTTATCACTAGGTTCTTTATACCAGTAATCTAGGGGCTGAGCAAAACCTCATTGCAGCTGGAGGGTGGAGAAGCTGCCTTTCATTCAGGGTATCTGCAGAAGTCATTGAGCAACTTTGTGGAATAAATATTGGAAATAATGGGAGCTGACATCCTGGACTTGAGTATAGGAAAGACTGGAGCAGAAGTTGAGCCATGTAAGCCAAGGGGTTCCTGAAGTCTGATAATAAAACCCAAAGATGATGGATTTGATCTGCCTATGAGTGTGCTTGTGTGGCTCACAGGGAGCACTGACACAAGTGATATTTTGTTGCACAATTGGCCACTGAAAGCACTCTGCAGCTGTGCCCTGACAGAAGTGCATGGCTGCAGTGTTTTAAAAGGGCCCAATCCCATGACAATCTGAATCCATGAAGGTTCAGATGAAGGCGCTCCAAAGCGGAGCACCTTCATTAACTTGTGTCAGTGCACGCCAGGAGGAGCGCTGGTCAGCCCAGCCCTGCTCCGGGCACTGTCTTCAGAATGGGGTGGGGGGGAAGGGAGCGGAGGGAGATTGGTTTTGGGGTTGCCCAACCACCACTGGAGGGTGAGGCAGGTGGACTGGACCCCCCCGAGGTGAGGGCCTCCAACCCTTCTGCCCCCAACTCCAGCGCAGCAAGGCAAACCCCAGAATGGACCTCTCTTCCCTGCCTTCTCTCACCGGCTCGCCTCCAAATTGGAGCTCAATCCCCCACCCTCCTGACCCAACAGCTAATGTCTGTTGGGTTGAGGGTCGGTCTAACTCATGGCGCTTTCTGTGAAGGTCTGGGAGTTAGACCGGGGAGTTGCACTTCTGTCTGTGCCCAGTGTGTGGCCCTGAGAAAGAAAGCTATAGGGTAAAGCACTAGCTGGAGGGAGGGAAGGAGCTTGTTGTCTCCCTTGGTTTGAGCCTGACTGTGTTTAGGGAAATGAGATGTTGTGTCCAACTCTTTATAAGCAAGTGGCACTGTGCCGGAAACACCAGACTCCATCCTCATTTGCTCTTCCTAAGGGAAAAAACCTACAAGGCCCCAAATTTTGACCAACTGCTTAGGTCAAGACGTTTTGCCCCTACGGCCTTGGAGGTGAGTTCCCCCTCTGTGTAAGCCTGACAACTGCAGGTTCAGAGTCCAGGTGTTGGCCCTTTCAGCTGGTCCATTTTGCTTTGGCAAGGTACCCGAGCACAGGCATGTGGGTTTGATCGTGTTGCCAGAGGCCTTGCTAACAGAACAGGGCAGCTCTTCAGACACAGACTGGCTAGGGTTTTTTCTGTCTGACCTCAAGGTGCACTGAGCTCATCCGTTCCTGGTGTTCACACATTAACCTGATGTGTGTCCAAGCAAACAGATCTCACCTAAACCATAGTGCTTACTGCTATGGTCTCAATGTACAAAGGACAAAACACCACTGTCTCCAGGAGCCTGGGCCCAAGCTGGAGCAACTTGGCACTTTGATTCCATGTTTAAAAGGGTTCTTGGGGCTTTCAAGGTACAGTACACAGAAAAGCACCCTCGTTTTATAACTGTGCATGCCACGCAGTACTGCTCACTCCTGTGAGTGCTTGCAGGCTGGGACCTTACTGCCTATATATCTGTACTGCAAACGGTGTCTTGATCTCAACTGAGGGTTTTGGGTGCTCCTGCTAGCCATATGATACCTAAGTATTAGGAGAAAACAGCATTGGGTTTCAGGATAAAGCACAGAATGAGTTCCAGCTGAAGTTCTGGCACTGACTTACAGCATGGCACCGTTACAATTTTGTGCCTCAGTTTCCCTACCTTTAGAAAGGGGATAATATGATGTCTTAAAACAATATACTGAGCAGGAAGAGATAGGCTTGATGCTGGAATGGCTGGGTTACATTCTTTGGCCAGTGCCATACAGGATGTGAGACTATATAATAAACTGGCGTTATAAATATTAATTATTTTCAGCATTAATAATAATATTGCCAATAGCAAGGGTAAGAATGATTAATAATTAATATTACCCTCTGACCTGAAAAGCTATGTTTGGATGTTCTAATAATTCCCAACCTCCTAGGGATATTTTGAAATGGAAGTTATTGGTAAAGCACATGAAACAAAAACAGGTCGTTTTATGATTGCATTCCCTGTAACACATGCACTTAAGAAGGTGAAGAGGTATTTTCTTGTACTGGGGCCTAAGGTGGTAATTGTTAAGCTAGGATCGATCTTGTCCTGAGCTTGCTGCATTTCTACCCACTGTTATGTTCACAGTGCAGCCCAGCATTTGGACTGCAGCTAGCAGGCAGGGCTGGGTTTATGCCTGTCATAGTGGCAGGTTATTGCTCACACTGTCCTCTGGGTGGCCAGTGTGTAATGTGGCTTAAGGCCAAAAATATGATAATGAAAGTGATTTAAAAAACACAGCACAGGGCGTGCAGGAAGCCTTCAGGTCTCCACTTCAGTATGTCTGCCTGGAGAATTTGTGTTCTGATAGCCTGGTGCTCCTTGCAGCGGCTCCAAGGTATGGTACAGAAATTCTTACTGCTCTCATTTCCCTGCACTCTGCTGGCTTGATTTTACTCTGAAAGGTGGCAAACAAACAGGGCATTGCTTTCCTTGATCTTTGCCGGGGCACCGAAAGTTTCCGCAGATGAGGAGTTAGCAATGGAAACAGGAATAATTCCTGTAAAATGAAACATAGGCTGTTGTGCAGATATGCGTCAATGAAGAGTGTCTCTCTAAAACGGTGGTTTTCAACCTGTGGTCTAGAAACCCCTGCAGGTCCCAGACTATGCCTGAGGGGTCCATAAAAGATGACTATGATCAATCAAAAGTACGTGAATACCTACACTTACAATTGAAAGGAGTCTGTACCTCCAGCTGAAACTTGTAGGGGTCTGCAAATGAAAAAAGGTAGAGAACCACTGCTCTAAAAGGCATCTTGCTGAAGGACAGAAATACGAAATGTTTGTTCCCTGAAAACACCAGATGTCCAGCTCGTGGGGCAGCACCGAGCAAGCCTGTGTTCCCTGCTCTAAGATACCAGCGTGCAGAGGGATGTGACTTTTAAAACTAGGTTTAAAACAATTGCCTGGGCCAGCGGAGTCTCTGGAGGCTGGAGTTTAATGGGTGGCACATGGGGGAATGCAGGCGGGTTCATGTGGATGCAGTTGGATATGTTTTGGGGGAAAAGAAGACAGGAGGGTGGAGAAAGCAGGCTGGCATCACAGCCTGGGTTATTTCCCATGATGTTGGACAGGATTATTTTTCTAGGGCCTGATTCTGCACAGTACTGAGCACCCCAGCTCCCACCACTATCAGTGGGTTGGAGGTTGCCTTCCCAAACAGAATGTGTCAAATAAGAACTGACAAGTACAAAAGCCCTCCCTTTGTACTTGTGCTGTCCCCAGACGGCTTCCTCCAACTGGGAAAGTCTCGGTAGCTCTTTGGAGTTGAATTTGGGCAGCCTGTGGCCTGATTTATGCTAGAGTTGGAAGCACCACGACAGGCCAGTCCTGAGCCTGAAGGACAGAGGAGTGGGGAAATGCCAAAGCAAAATCAAATCCAGGTGAGAAAAAGATATAGGGATTGAAAGAGCCAGTGGTGTGCAAGTCCCAAGCTGGGCCATGGCCTAGGGAGAACTGTACCCGCAAGGGAGGGCTGTCGTGAAGCAGCTAGACAATGTTGCGCTGTCACAGATGACGTTCTCCCGCGCGCACTGTTAACAACTGTAAAGCATCTGGACCGGTGGAGGAGTCCTGCTGCAACAGTCCTGGTCTGGGATGCCAGAGGTGAAAGGCAGCGCTTAGAATTCCTCCTGGACGTGTTTCAGCGTCATGCTGCACGTTCAAAAGAGCAGCAGCACAGCGATTGACCTGATCCAGAGCACAGCGATTTATCTCTGATCCAGAGAGGGGTTATGGGCACCGATCCAGCACAAGGCAGAGAGGGGGGACACCAACCCTTCTTACCTGTAGAGAGGAAAGAGGCACTGCAGGTCATTGAGGATGTGTCAGGAAGGCACCGCACCTTTTCGCTAGCTGCTGGGCCTCATCCATAGCCCTCGTTAATTAAAAAAGATGGCAGCACCGGCCTGCGGACTGTCAGACATGAGCTGAGATCACTATAAGGATTCTTGTCTGTTAACATAACTAGCCGATGACTTAGATCAGTGGGTCTCTCAACCTTTTTAGACTTGAGGCACACCTCAACAAACTTGAGGTGCCCCTTAACAGTCTTGAAGCACCCCTGTGAAAATGCCAGCTCCTAGTTTCACTCAGTTCTTCCTTATAGAAAAATAGCAGGGCGATTCTTTTGCTGCAAAAAAAGCAGAAAGGCCACAGCAGGTGTGCATGTTTCTAACACAACAGCTTCTGGGTTTATCTTTTGAATGATGTTTGCACACCTGACAGTGGTAATGTTGTGTGGCACCTTGTGATACCTTTGAAAGGACCTCAGGGCATCAGCCTGCTTGAGAATCACTGGCCTAGATGCCCTCCAAGTTCAGTCCTGTTTTCCAAACTGGGATTTTAAAGCATTGGCAAGTGGGATCAGATCCAAAGGGCAGGCAAAATACTGCTTTCACATCAAAAGGGACTTTCTTCAAATGAGAGTTTTCCACTGTGGTATGACATCACAGTGTGTGCTAAAACTCTGAATGAGAAATCACGTAATTAACAAATGCTGAAGGCTGAAAGAAAAGATCAGAAACTTGGCCAAAAATGAGTATCTTCCCACGGGAACACAGCCAGCAAGGGGGAGATGTCCAGTGCAAAAGGAAAGCAGATATGATACAGAATTGCCAAACTCCCCAGCCACTTCCAGACATGCACAAGTATGTTGCTGGCTGCTCCTGTTTCAGAAGGCTTCCTTGTAGTTTGCTCAAATTGCAAACTAATGAACAGGACAGGTAAGAGAGGGTGGCCAGGTCCTGAATCACCGATACGGCAATGCATATTTGGAGCAGAAAAGGCCTCCTGGGACTACAGCAGCTTGGACACTTTATGACAGAGTAGTTTTCCTTTGGAAGATACTGATTTGTCCAAACTGAAATGTTTCACAGAAAAAGGCAAATTTGGCAAAATGCTCACAACGCAGATGACTGAGATCCAAGATCGAATCTGTGTTCAAAAGCAGAGAGAGAGCGCGTTGTCCCAGCATAGCTGGTATCCCACTGACAAGAGCCCTCACCTGGGACTTGCCTCTGCCTCCCCCACGTGCCACACGTGCACTAACCCCAGGGCTGCTCGCTATTTTGGAGTTCCTCTTTCTCTCTCACTCTCTCCCCCCACAACTGTCTGTCACAAACCCACTTCCTCGGGTCGTAGTTTCATCCTGATGCAGAAGAGGAAGCATTCTTAGACCTTCGTTTGTCACTTGTAGGACAGAAAGCCCATTTCCTGCCCACCTGAGCTTGTGACTGCCCACGCTTGCCCTGCCCGTGTTTCAGAGAGTACACGGCTGCCGATACTTATTCTCTGGGGCCACTGTCATCTAGCGGAAGAGGACCCTGGGAAGCAGTGCTGAGGATCAATGCTGGCACATTCAAACAGTTTTCCCCTTTTCTCAGGTCAAATGCAACTGCCCCCGCCCCAGAATGTGATGCTGCTGTCGAAGGATTTTGATATCATCTTGACGTGGCTCCCCAGGGAAGGGTCCCCACCAGACACGGTGTATACGGTGAAATATGAAACGTGAGTGCGCAGAGAGGGGCAGAACCGGGCAGAGGGACCCAGGCGAGAGCGTAGGGCGGGGGCTCTGCTCCATTCCTAGCTTCACAACCAGCTCCACAGACAACATGACCTGCTAGAGGAGTGTCTCTGGCTGAATGTGGAGGGGAGCGGAGGGGCAGGAAGAAGGAAGCTCAGCCAGCTCTCTCACCACTGCAGCTGCAATTGCCTTGGCCTTTCTCACTATCCCTTCATCTCTCACCTCCACCTCCCCTTATCTCCAGAGTTACTGCCCCCTCTCTCTTTACTGCTCCCTTCACCTCCCAACTTTGCCCTCCTTCTTCTACCCCCTGGTGCCAGTCACCCTGGGGCCTGCTTTCCCCTGCTTTGGTGTCTGATGCAAAGACCACAGAAGTCAGAGGGCGTGTTTCTACCGGCTACAGTGGGCTTTCAATCCAGGTTTTCATGACTAAGTAATTCCACCAGACAGAAGTTCACTGGCACCAAAGTGGAGCACTAGGCCCCCTGTTCTCAGCCACCAAGCACAGAGCGTCTCTTCCTTATCTCCCCTTTACACCCAGCTTGTCCAGCCTCTTCACCTCCCTCCTCAGCTCCTCCAAGAGGCATCTTATCTTGCATGTGCTTTTCTCTGCCTCCTGATTCTCTGGCCTGCACTGGAAGGGGTCAGTGAATTCAGGATTGCCCTCCCCCAGACACCACAATGGGAGCCTTCCCTTCGGCCACCGAGGGAAGCAGATCAGATCCAAAAACTTAGGCCAACATTGTCAAAAGGGACTCATGATTTGGGGGCCTCAGGGTGGGGCTCCTTCGAGGCTATGATCAGCAGGAAGGGCAGAGGACACTGCCTCTGAAACTCAGGGCTCCTTACAATGAATCAAGTCAGACATCCCCCAAAAACGGAGGCACCTAAAATCATTGGGCTCGGCCTGGGGCTGCAAAGCTCTTCAGGGAAGAGGCTGGTGTCTTTCCTTTTATCTCAGGTACTTATAGGACCCTCAACAGCACAGGGCCTGAGCCTGGGGTTTTTTGGGGTTTTTTGTTGTTCCGCCGCCCTGGCGGGGGGTCGGGCTAGAAGGTCTACTAGGTCCCTTCCGACCCTTAATCTATGAATCTATGAATCTATGAAAAACCTCCTCATCCTTAAATGTCCTGCTCCTCCCAGCACCTCTGGGTGTCAGGGAAGTGCTATTACCCTTATCTTGCAGGCAGAAGGAGCCAGGGTGCAGAGAGACCAGGAGATGTATTCATGGCCACTCAAGATGTCTGTGGCAGAGCTGGGAAGTCCCAGGCTTGTGCCTTCACCACTGCACACTCTCTCGCTTCCTCTCTGGCTGGAAAGCCAAGGCCACTAGGCCAGCCCTCTCAGGGTTATTTGTTCATATAATTATGTGTTAATATAAAATTATATTTGTTAATATAACTATACCTTTCAGTATCACTAGGTTTATATTAGTATATATTATTAATATATAATATCTCAATACAGCATAATAATCATATAACATACTACATTATATTATATTTAATACTATGTGCACTAATATACACATAATAATGCTGATACATACCATTTTTATATTCTTCTTCTTCTTGTTATTATTATTATTATAACCTTTATAATCATTACTAGTGCACTGGCTGCATCCCTTTACCCACCTCATCCTTTAGGACAGACAAACGTGAGAGTTATGCTCTAAGCCCTCTGCCACATATAGTGCTACTTCTGTCCTCCTCTCCCCATATTAAAACCTGTTTTATTACGTGCTTGACTCTGGGTTGGTTTTGCCTTTTCTTTCAGCTGGGGAAACAGAAATCACTTGAAAAAGGTCGCACACTGCAAAAATATTTCTGAAACCATCTGCAATCTGACTTGTGTGCTGTCAGACTCATTCAAAAAATACAGGGCCCGAGTAAAAGCCCTGTCGAGTGGACGCCAGTCCTCCTGGGCAGAGTCAGGATACATCGAACATCATTTTGATGGTACGTTTGTTGGTCGACAATTTGGCTGAACCCCTCGATGATCCTGCGGCACTAAGAGAGTTTGAACTTTCATTCTGCCCACACAGCTCTGCAACTCCAGCCTTAATATTTGCAGGTTTCAGATAAGGAAACTGGAAACCACAGAGAGGTTTCAGGGTTCAGCTGGAAGGGAAGTGAGTGCCAGCAGCAGTACTACAACTCAGGTTTACTGGGCACCAAGCCCTTTCCTCTGCTCACTAGGACCTTCTTTCTTGGGCACACCTTATTTACAAAGGACGGAGACATTTCACTTCAGCAATATTACACACAGCTGCACGCACTCCACGTTTAATCTCATATGACCAGGGCAAGTCAAACCAGGTCAAAGACCACGCATATTTGTGTTTCTGGGTGAGGCAGGGAAGGTGTTTATGTTGCCTCCTGAAAAGACTATCAGAAGACTCAGAGGAGAGATAGGAAACTCTGCACAACACCAGCTGCTTATGGGGCTGAAGGGAGATTAGGTCCAGACCATACTTCTAGGATTTCTTAGGTGCAGGGAGACCCTGGTGGTGGGCTCAGCATGACAGCCTCAGGAGAACAGCCGGTACAGTCACAGGCCCTGCACAGGTAGATGTGTCTCAGACCACACTGACGCAGGACAGTGCTTGTTGGGATATGTCAGCTGGATGGTGGAGGACCAAGAGTTGCCCATCACATTCATCACAAGGTACTAGCTATTGCAGCCCCCAAACCAGGTAGTTAGAGCACGGACCTCTCGCTGTCAGAATCCATCTAAGAGGGTGAGGCTACCTTGTCTAGGGGAGATTTCTATGTGGCCTTTTTCAGAGGACAGCTTTTAGCTGCATTCCAGCCCACAAGCTAGCACTGCTCTGACACCTGCTTACTCAATTACAGTGGAGCTGGCTCCTCCGGTCCTGGAAGTGAAAGTAAAGGAAAACTTAATGACTGTCAATGCCACTTTTCCCCTGGCCTCCTGCCTGAAGAATGACTTTCAAAACCTGCAGTATGACTTGGATTTCTGGGAAGCTGAATCCAATGATAAGGTCGGCAAACGAAGCCAAGCTGCATTAGATGTAGAAAGTGCTAAGTCAAGCTGCATCAGGGATTGGGACCAGACCCAAAGGTGGGGAGGATTGGATATGGGCTTTAGTTCATCCCTGTCTCTAAGACTGAAATGGCCTCTAGTGTTGCTCTTGCTTGTCTAAGTAGCCAGCTGAGGGTGATTCATAGGGTGACCATGCATCCAGGTTTGGCTGGGACATTCCCGGATTTTGGAGACCAGTCCCAGTCAGCTGGTGGAAATTAAAGCAGGTGTCTGGGTGCGGGGCATGGGGCATGGGGCATGGGGCAGGGAGGTGGAGAGGCACCAGCTATTAAATAGGAAGCCTTAGCAGACAGCAAAACTGCCCTAAAATACGTTAGTTTGATTAATGGAAGCTTTTATGATTTATTGAGGGGAAGGAGTGGGGGGCAAATTTCACATTGTCCCATATGGACCCCCTATGATGCAGGAGCTTCTTTCTACATACCCTGCATGCCCTACAGAAGTGCCTTCAGTAACCCCTAGAGGTGCCTTAGCTAGCTTTAAACTAGGTACAGGTAGGAGCATAGGCACAGCAGTGCAGGGCTCAGTGGGGGCTGCGGGTTGAGAAAAAGGATTCATATTCAGGCATGACTGTAGCATATCCTAACATACCTCCCAAATCTAAGCAGGGATCCCCCGTTGTTCCCAACCCTCTCCTTTCCTTCTTTTGGAGCAGAAGCAGTACAAGGGCAAGATGAAGTGGCAAGGCGTGGAGATCAACACCACGGCATTCAGTGGCAATTACTGCCTGAGCGCTCGGGCTTCCTTCCAAGTCATTGACCCGAAACACAGCGAGTTCTCCAGGCCAGTGTGCATGCTGCTGAACCCCAAAGGTATGGCTCGGGGGCAAGGCTTTCAGAAGCACAGTTGGCCACCAGGTGGGATTATGGCTGGTTGAAAATTGTCCATCTAAACTGGTTTTCACCAGAAAATTGAGTTCTCTCTGAAAGAGAGGCTGTCCTCCCCCCGCCACCCCCCATCAAAAAAAAAGTATCTGCTTTCTTTGAAACATTTGAATTCTTCATCAGAAACATAAGCATCCAAAAAGTTGAACTCTCCGGTGAAAGAAATATTTTAGCTAAAA